TACTTGTCACCAGGTTTTGGCTGGAACAAACAATGAATTCTCCTGGGAGCAGGGAGCTTTCTCAGGCAGGCATTTTAAGGAAAGTTGGGTTCATCCTAAAGACAGGGCCTTAGCTGCTAGAAGCCTTGTTAGTTCTGTCGAGTCCCTTAGTGCCAAGATTTGGATGGAGCTGTTATGTGCAGAGTTCTATAGTACTCACTTTAGAACAATTTAAGAGGTTATACTGAAGGACCAAGCCATAATGGCAGGATTTAGGGCTTCCTCAGTCAGCTGAGATGAGGGGGAGGGGTATTTGTGAGGTCTATGTCCTCTGCCAAGAGCCCTCCACTTCAACACTAGCCTGGCTTAAACCTTCCCTCTCTGTCTCGATGACCATTGTGGGGACTCTAGACTGACACATGTATATACATATACGTCCTGCAAAGGACTGGGACAACTTCTCCATTTACAGGTTTACTTTAAAGTAAACATTTAGTTTACCCTCTTAGCACTCCTTGAGTTTCTGGATATAATAGTCTATTTGATTAATTAATTTATCCCAACTCTTCAAAGACCCTGATGGTCAAGACTTGACAAGGTGACCTTCAGCCTGCATTGGTTTGGTCAGCTGGTCAGTTTGGTTCTTCCTGCTAATTCCCAATGATTCACAATTGCTTACGCATTGTTTTAACAGATGATGGGCCTCCCACTCTCTGAAGGCAAGCTGGACCAGAAGACGGCCATGTCACTCTTGCAGAAGTTCAGCCACATCCTGGTAAGAGTCTAGGGAATCACAGGAACTGGCTGAGACCCAGAGAGGGGAGGTGCTTGCCCCAAATCACAAATAAATTAAATGGCAGCAGGAAGACTGGGGCCAGAGGGTTTTACTCCAATTTTTCTGCCTTTCTCACCTACCTCACGAAGTGGGAGGTGGTTGCACAGGAATCAAGAGGTTCACCATTAACACAAGAAGAGAAGCTGTGTCGTTCACCAGAGGGTGGTTGTCACTTTCCCTCTTGATCTATTTCAGAACATCCCTGAGGAACTGACTCCAGTGGCCACTGAGAAGTATCTGGGAGGGACAGACGACCCTGTCAAAAAGAAAGACCTGTTCCTGGATTTGATGGGAGATGTGATGTTAGGTGTCCCATCTGTGACTTTGGCCCGTCTCCACAGAGATGAGTCCCAGAGGTTAGAGAAGAAAGGGACACCAAGCTCACCGGCTATGCTGTCTGTCCTGCCCTCCCCTCAGCATAGACAGATATGTGGAAACAGCAGAGAGTCAGTCCTCCCAGGCTGATTCCATATGGCCTGGGGTGGGGCACTGTCTTATCTTGGTTTCTGCTGGAAGTTTACTCTGGGAAAAGGATCCAAATGCAAGTAGTTTATTTGGGAGCTGATCCCAGGAAACACCAGTAGAGGAGTGGAGAAGTGACAGGGGAAGGAGGAGGAAGACAGTCCATGCTGCCCTGTCAAGCAAGTATCCGCTGTGGACACTGGAGCTGGGGAGCTCTAGGAAACCTGCAGAAGACAGTCTCAGGGTTATCCTGGGTGAGCGGTGTGGGAACTGAGGTATTTATTCTCCAACTCCACGTGTCATTGATTGAAGGCTGTTCTCAAGGGATTGTTGATTCTCTGGTGCTTTGACCTGCTGTTCACATGGGCAGAGTGGTCTCTGGCAGCCAAAGACCTCAGGTAACAAGCCAGAGATGGAAGTCAGGCTGGCATGCCCAGAAGTAGTTATATGGTGAGGCACCAACAGCATGTTCTACTGGGACTCCTCACCTGAAGTTTTTGCGTTCCGTGGGGCTAGAGAGCAAATCTTAGAAGATGTGTCTTAGCAGGTTTCTAAGGTCTGGAGCTAGCTTCAAGCTAATTTGTTAACTAGTGTAGCTGAGGGTAGGGTGAAGCCAAGCATAAGATCAGGAAGTTTGTCCAAGACCAAGTAAGCTGAGAGAAATGAGTAGTGGGAGATACGGAACAAGTGGTCTGGAGAATGTCAATGTCTGTGACTGGCTGCTGTCCATCTTGGTGTGTGCTGGGTCTACCATGCAACCTTCTACATTGACCCAAGGATGTGTAGGTGGGGTGTGAAGTCAGGGTGGGTGGGTTTACCTAGAGAGGAGGTGTCCCTTCTGGGTGCCTTTTTAAGGTCCTCACAGGACTTTTCCTTTTCTAGGAGCCCTCCTTCGCCTAGTCCGCAAGTCAGGGAATGATTCTCTAGTCCAGACCTCTCTCTCTAACTGTGCTGGAAGGTTTTTAAATTCAGGATTTTATAAGAATGATAAAAAGTATCTACAGCTGACCTACTATCAGGACAGTAACATACGGGTGCTGTTTACCACTTTCTCCTCCCGAGGATCCTGATGAAACTCTTCAGCCAGGGGCCACCTGGGGACAAATCTGTTCTTTCATAAACTTGGTCTTGTCTCTTACTACGTGTCTGATTTGTGGTATCCCTGTCTGCATCATCTGCTGGTGCATCCGTGTGGATTTGTGTTTTCATCTGATAGCTCATGACTTTGTGTTCAAGGTCTTTTGACAGAAGTACACAGATTTTTCCAACAGTATTCTTTCATTTTTGTATTTGTCTCACTGTCTTTTTGATCAAAAAGAACTCTTCTGAATATAAAGTTAGTATATGATAATATATAATATCTTACAGTTGTAGAAAGTTTTGAAAATATGGGAACACATAAAGAAGAAACTAGATATCACTCATAACTCCTCCACCTAGAAGTGTCTGCTATAAGTTTTTGATATATTTTCTTCTAATAATCTATGAATGTCTTACATATAATTTAAAAATTAATTTGTATTATGTTTTTCTCATAGAATACTATATTGTTGGTGTTTCCTCAATGTCAATAAAAACTCACCAACAACATCCATCATTTCATGGATTATAATTTATTTTAGTATTCCTGTCCAATTGCATATTTAGGATGGCTGCTCATATTTTGATGACAGAAAAACATTCTGCTCAGCCTTATTTGCATAAATCTTTAATCTAGCCTCTAATAATTTTCTTAGGATTTGTTTGTAGAAGTGAAATTACTAGGTTGGGATGTAGGAGCATTTTAAAGTTCTTGATACAGATTGTGAAATTGGTTTCCAGTGTATAAGAGTGTAGATTTCTTGATTCTCTCACCTGGGACACTCAAACTAAAAACAAAAATAACACTGCTAATTTCATAAGCCCTTCATGACCGAAAAAAAAAGAGCATCACACTATTTTAATTTGCATATTTTTGATTACTAGCTGTCTCTTTCCTTCTGCTTCTCTTGTTGTTCCTCATTGTTATTATCCAAATCTCTTTGCTACTTAACTTTGAAGACTTGGGTTGTGATTGTAGGAATTTTATAAGTCTCAGTGCTTTAATGCAGAAAGTTGAAAAAAAGAAGAATATCTTTTGGGGAGCACTGTGCCAAAAATAAGTTCTCTCATTCACAGAAGTTCTTTCCTCTATGATTGTGTATTGAATTACTTTCTAAAACCTTTGCATGGCAGAGACAAGATGAAACACCCCACTTGTAGTGAGTTCTGCTTGACCTTGAAGCAGCTGTTTAACATGTGGATTATGGAACCAGAGATGACTGCTTCTTCAAAACAACTCCTCTTGCTAAACCAAGGGTGCAATGATGGGAGTGAAGGAGGAAATTAAAGAAATGATTCCACTTCCTCATGTCAGGATGGAATGTATTCTTAAAAAATTTTGTGGATGAAGATGTAACGATGTGAAGAAATGACTATACTATTTATGTAATAACATATACAATATTCTCCCAATTTTATGTACATTAAAATGTTACCTGCTAAAATATTAACAGGTTTCCCTGAATGGTGAGATTGTAAGTGATATTCTTGTTCGTTTTCCTTTTTTCTGCCTTTTTCAAATTTTTACTATATCCAAGGGGGAAAAAAGTTGTAAAGTTTCTCCACCAGCTGTCTTGGGGCCTGACCCTTCCCCTGTTGGAGTCACTCACTGTGGGCCTCATGATTCACACAAAATGTAGATCTCCGTGGCTGGGTTGCCCAGGAGTTAGCCCTGAAGAAGCAGGAATGGCAGTTCTGGGGAAGCATCAGCAGGAAAGCTGACATCTTTGGGGCTTGGAGAGGGAGGTGAGAGAGGAGGCAGGGGAGGAGGAGAGGGGCAGGAGAGAGGCAACTTCCTCCTTCCTCAGCCCCTCTTCTCTCTTCACCACCACCTCAACACTCCCCAGGCCAAGAAGGAGGCAAGACATGTGAGGTGTCAGGGAAATAGGAAATGCTGAGTTTGTGATTTCTTGAGACATGAGACAGATTGTCCCCTTTCTGCATATGTTTGTGTTTAAATATTCGCGTTTTCAGATCAGAAACTTGGATTTGCTTCACTCTTCTCAGAATAGTGAGAGAAACGCTGAAAACACTCAAAACTGGGCAGAATAGAAGAGACCTAATAGACTGCAGATATTCTCCAAAGGAATGAAAACTAGCCTCTTTTCAATGAAACACAGTAGTGTAAACTGTAAGAATGTAGATGTTCTTGAGTGTGAATGCATCAGTTGGCAATGTGGTTTACGTGAATTGACCCGATGGTCCTATAATGTTAATTATTTTGAATAGATCTCTCCAGTGTGTCAATAGTCATTCAGTCCTTCATTTAATCTTCATTCATTCAACAAACACCTGGCTCAAATCCCATCCCACCTCCACGAGCTATGTGCCTGTAAGCAAGTCACAGATCTTTTCCAAAACGCTATTTCTCTATTATGCTGATAACCAGGGGTCTCCTGCAGGGCCACACAGTGTCCAGCACATGGTTGACACTCATAATGGCAACTGTTATTAATATTGTTGTTGTTGTGTACTCAGGACCCAGATGTGTCAGCAATTCCCTGAGTGCTCAGGGCCCCCAGACACCTTGATACCATCCAGATGTGCGTCAGGTAAAATGATCTGTGCATGAATCCATGTCTTCTCAGATGCCGGAGCCTCTACCTACATGTATGAGTTTGAGTATCGCCCAAGCTTCTCATCAGACCTGAGACCCAAGAAGGTGAAAGGGGACCACGGGGATGAGGTCTTCTCGGTCTTCGGGGCCCCACTTCTAAAAGGTGATGGCCCTTTGGAGACAACAAACTTGGGATTAGGAGACCTGGGTTCAAGTCTCAGTTTGGTGGCCTTGGACAAATCCCTCCTTCTCTCCAGGTCTCAGTTTCCTGAATTCTCCATAACAAGGTTGAATGACAAAATTTCCCAACCTTTCTCTTGCTCTAACTTGCATGATAGAGATTGTGTATCCATGTGCTCTCATTCATGATCACTATAAGAATCCACACCTGGACATCAATGTGACAGGTGGAGGGTGAATTGTCTGGTCTGGCTCAAGGGCTAGAATGCCACCACCCACTTCCACTCACAAGAGCATGTCAGGTTAAGTGACAGTAAGGTTAGAATGGATGTTGACCTTGAATTAGGGCTAATATGTGTCTATTTATTCATCTAACCATTTATCTACCTTTCTAAAACTCATATTTTTTTAAACTTAATATATTTAATAATATGATATTTTAAAGAAAACCTTTCACAAATGTCTTCAATCCCTTAACTATCAACAGCCACAGAGGACTTGCATGTGACCCACCCCAGGGCTGTTTGTGACAACCAGTGCCTCTGGGCATTCCCTGGTTGGGTGACTCTTTAGGACCATTGCAGCTCTGTTATTTTTCAGGTTCTATGTATAGCTGGGTGGGTGGAGGAGATTGAGGAAAGACATAAGGGAGAGCAATCTTGGGAGTTGGGGTTGCTGTAGTGGAAACACTGGGGTACGGCATTGCGACTCTGAAGAGGGAGGACGGGGAGGGTGGGCACAGAAGACAAAGACCACCACTCATGGATCGACTGCAGCCATTTACTGTGTCCTACATCAGTAACTCTCAAGCTTAAAGTGCACATACATTACCCAGGATCTTCTTAAAATGGAGTTTTCGACTCAGTAGATACGGAGTAAGGGATTGGATTCTGAATTTGTCATAAGCTCTCAAGAGATGCTGCTGCTGCTGGCCCAAGAACCTCACTTTGAGTAGTAAAGGCTTTTTGTCTTCTTCCCCACAGAGGGTGCCTCAGAAGAGGAGATCAAACTCAGCAAGAAGGTGATGAAATTCTGGGCTAACTTTGCTCGCAATGGGTGAGCCTCATGGCAAAGATGGAGCAGGGATGGGAAGGGGTAGGGCAGCTCTGTTGGGAAGAGGTATCCTCTAATGTTTGATGGTCAGATTTCCGGCCCTGTGACCTCTGACATGAGAGCCCTCTAAAAATGGACAGGCTGCCCGGAAGGTGGTGAGCTCCCTGTCTCTGGAGGCATACGAGCCTCTTGGCAGAGATGACACCAGGAGTCCCTGATAATCTCAGAAGACAGTTGGGACCACACAGTAGCTGTGGGGAATATCTGTTTGATTCTGTTCCCAGGAACCCCAATGGGGAGGGACTGCCACATTGGCCAGCATATGACCAGAAGGAAGGGTACCTGCAGATTGGTGTCACCACCCAGGCAGCCCAGAAGCTGAAAGATAAGGAAGTGGCTTTCTGGACCGAGCTCCGAGCCAAGGAGGCAGCAGAGAAGCGACATCAGACAGAACATGTGGAGCTCTGAATGGGCAGCCCAGCCAGCGTCAGAGGCCTAAGGGAACCCAGATGGGCAGATGGGGTATTCTATAGATGGTGTTTCTGGGCGAAAGAGGTATCTTTTTGTGGAGGCTGCGGAATTGTCAGGTGGGATAGGCAGAGGCCAGGGAGGGGCAATTTCTGTATCTGTGGCATCAATTTGGGAATAAATGTTCTTTTGGAGACCAAGTCAGTGTCTGTGTCTTCAACTGAAAATTAAGCCATCCATCCTCGTTAGAGAAAGAAGAGTGAAGAGAGATAACACTATGCGCAGGAAGGTGCCTCTGGCGTGTCTGGCTTGGCCTCTGGACAAGCAGAATCCAGTAGGCTGGGCCCTGGGACACCCTGCGTCTGCTCCACGTCTCTGGGCCCTCAACAACTTCCAGCAACAGGTTGTGGGTTTATCAGAGTACAGTGTCCCTGTCCTCCCTATGAAACTACCTGTAGAGCTGGAGGAGGCACAGACTCAGGATGTACCTGGAGTGTGTGTGTGGGGTGGGGGGCGGAGAAGAGCTGCCGAGTTGACCCTGTGGCATGTTGTGTAGCCCTTATTGACCCTTCCACAGGTCTGCAATTCTTCAACACACACACTATCCTCCTAGCCCCCTCTGTAGGTCCATGTCTTCCAACACCTTGTCTGAGCCCCTTCTGTTGCCTGGGCCACTTCAAATCCAAGCAGTGACAACCTTGGAGTGAGTCCCTAAACTGTCACTCTAAAACTGCCTCTTTCAGAACACCCAGGGTAACTTCTGGCTTCTGCTGATATGTAGAAAGCTCTAATGACTGTCACTTCCACCCTAACAGCAAGAAACAGCGGGATTATCCTCAAAATCATGACTTTCTCTGAACCATTCAAAGAGCTGAGGTTGCAGGTGAACAATTGCCCTAAAGTCTCAGGAAGACGGCACTTTGTAGGAAAGATGGGATGTGGATGCTGACTTACCCTCTGCTACAGGTGGAAGATGGGATCACCATAGATGTGGGCAGAATGACTCTAAAAATTCTAATCAAGTGCTAAAGGCCAAGTGTGGACTAGTATGAGGGTATAAAATCCTTGGGAGCCACAGACCCATGGGGGAGATTACACAGACTCTACTCCATGGACCTCCATCAGGGGATCCTGAGAAAGATCGGGAGCAGGAGTAAGACCAGAGAAAGCCTGCCTTAGGGGTGCAGGCATATAGCCCTGCTCGGAAACTTCCCCCTTAAGCCACAAAATCTCTAAACCGTTGGGTAAAGGGTAGCAAAACCACATCCCTCAGGGCTTTGGGTAGACCTATTGTGGCTGAGGAAAAGGAAAACTTAAAAAACCCTTTCCCTTGGGAGAGGGACAAGAGAAAATCCTGGGTCCTGGTCATTAGAAGTATTTTACTGCTGATGAGGGCAAATCACTGGGAAAGTCTCTTCTCCATGACCATGGAACACAGCATCTGACTAAGGCTGAGACTGGACCAGAGCAAGAGAAACCACTCCTGGACCACTACCCAACAAGGAAGCACACACCAAGTACCGAGTAGCAGAAATCTACCACTGGGTGAGGGAGAAAATGTGGAGAGAGACCCTCTGTGAAGGGAAAGTGCACAGGGCAGGACTAAAGCTGTTGGTGGAGCAGGAACATTGAGGGAAACCTCTCAGCAGCTCTTGACTTAAGCACAAGGTAACCCTAGAAGAATGTGAATCGGGGTGCACTGAAGATGACCATGGCAACAATGAAACTCAAGCCTGGCTCAACTGCTGATAAATTAAATCATTTCTCCCAAAACATGCACACACACATGCACACACACACACACACATACATTATGAGTCTAGCAGAAGAAGCATGCCCATTTCCAGTCATAAATACAATTTACTTAATTTTCTGCTTTCTTACATACACTGCTGAGGGAGACTCTGGATCCCTCATCTAAAATTAGAAACAAACAGAAAGCAAAAAAAAAAAAAAGGAAAAAGAAGCCCACTAATACAACACAAAACAATCAATAGAACCAGAATCAGAGATACCCCCGTTGTTAGAACTAACAGACTAGTAACCGAAAACAGCTACATAGAACACTTCCATCAACAGATGGGTAATTGCTGCAGAAAGAAGCAAATGGAAATGTTAGATATTTTTAAAAATAGTAACAAAGGTGAAGAATAACTTCACTGGGTTTATCAGTACACTTGACATGGCTGAGGAAAGAATGAGCGAACTTGAAGAGAGGTCATTATAAATTACCCAGCTTAAATAAAAAGAGAAAAAGGAGTGGGCAAAAAAACAGTACAAAGGAGCTAAGAGATGTTGGAAAACATGTAATAGTGCAGCGTATGTGTAACAGGAATCCTAGAAGGAGAAGAAAGAGAGAATTAGGGTGGGGTGAGATAAGGATGGGGACACTGATGAACTTGGATTTACATTGAAGGCAGTGGGGAGACACTAGAGGGTTTCAAAGAAGCATGCAGTTCGGTTCAATATGTTTCCCGATCAGCACGCTAGCTGTCTCCTCCATCAGATGCGAGTTCCTTGAGGACACGGTTATTTTATCTTTGTATTCTCTAGTTCCTTCCTGGTACATAGTAGGTCAGGGTATAACTCTGATCAGTGAATGAATGAATGAGTGAATCCATCCAATATATAAGAGTACGGAATCAAATAGATCTTTGCATTCAGAAAAGAACTGCTTTTCACTCCCTGGTTCAGGGAAGTGTTGAGGACTCGAATAGGCTCTGAGACTGGTCCAGACACAAAGACCCCTAGAACATCTGTCTTCCTTCAGCCTGTGCTTGACAGCAGGAGCCTGTGTTGGTGCCACCTGGTGGCCACAGTGCCATATTCTATTTTAATCAGCTTCCTCTGTTTTGCTAAGGTGCCTTGTCAGCCCAGAGAAGTAGAAAGGGAATCTGGAATGGGGAGATATGCTCTGCTCAAAGACATAGGCACCCGCTCAGCCAGCTTAGAGGCCCCTGTGAATGCCAACCCCAGGTCTGTCTGTCCTCACCCTGGAAGACCTAGTGCTGAGTCACCATAACTTGAGCCCAAGAGAATAATGATCTCAGCCCATGGGACAGAGAAGCCCAAATCTATGGCTGCTCAGACCATGGCGCTTTCCACGACACCCCTCCTCACCTCTCTCAGATGGTGATGGAATCCAGGGTGAGGAAGCCACGGGAAGGGAGGCAATGACCAATATCATCCCCATATAATTCTCGTTCTCATCCTAAGAGAACCCTGATTCTGTCTAGAGAAGCAGTGCACTCTGTTATAAATTCTTGCCCCACCCACCAGACTCTCTTACAGCTAGAAGTTACCAGGTTACACGGATCTGGCCAATGAAATGTAGGCAGATGTCTGGGTGGGGTTCTAGAAAAATCTACTCTTCTCCAGAGTAAAGAGACACAGACTCAGCTGGCCTCTGCCTTTTTCCCTCTCTCTTTATTTCCCTTCCTGCCTCAATGGTGGCCAAGATGTCTGCAGGTGGATTAGCCATGTTTTTTCCATGGGCATGAGAACCACATGCTATGGATGGTGGAACAGGAAGCTAGAAGGATGCCAAATCCTTGGTGACTTTCTTAAGCATCTCCAGAGCCTTATTGTGTTTCTGCTTATGTCCAGGTATAGGAAGTTCTCCGGAACCAAGGACATTCTCCCTCTTCTTCCCTCTGAAGACCACCTCTCTCTCTGACTCATTGCCTATTTGTTACAAGAGAACAAGAAAACCTCATTAGTTAGGAGACCATAGTTAGATCTGTCACATGCAGCCACTCGTCATCATAACACACAAACACTGTATATGTAATCCTTTTGCTTCTTGATAGTGAGCCCAGATGGAGCCTGTATCTGGCATAAAGAACCAGAGAACATGGGCCTGGGGTGTGCTTGGAGAAAGCCAGCAAAGGTATTTTCCCTGGAAGACAAGAGAACTCTGTTCAAGATGAACTCTCTTTTACTACGTGACCTATGACAAGTCTTTTCTTCCTAGTGCATAGTAGGCACTTAAATATATAAATATGTGTGTGTGTATGTATATATATATATATATATATATATACATACACACACATTTATACATAAATTATTTGTACTTAAGTATCTGTGTGTATATATATAAATTGCGTATGTGTACAATTAAATATATGTATATATATATAGATATATTCATTTCTATGTGTAACAAAAAGAGTGTTGGAACCGGTTGAGGACCCATGTCCCTACCAGCTAGACCATGTTATCCCTGTATGTCCAGGGACCAGGGGAGATGGCATATCAGAGTGGTTAAGAGCATAGACTGGAGTCCGACTTCCTGGATTCAATCCTCACTATCACCAACTAGTAAGTTATTTCATCTCTTTATGTCTCAGTTTCCTCGACTTGTAAATGGGATTAATAATACTACCTCATGGACTCATCAGGAGGATTCAATAAGCTGCAATTTCTAAAGCACTAGGAATGGTAACTGGCACAGGATAAGCCATCCTGTTTGCTAGTTAAATGTCAGCTCAGTG